AATCAGTGAAAATGGTTTATTTCACTTTTTTATGTTGAAGAACCGTTTAATAATTTTAATATATATTTTTTTTTGTTAGCGGACCCAAAATTGTTATATATAGTGTGTTTCCTAGTGTCTAGAATCTTTCTGTAAAATTTTAATAGTAAAATCCGCCGTTCAAGTGTCGGCGTATATTACCACATGCCCAATACCAGTAATTCCAAAAAAAGTGGCGACCAATTTTTTGTTTTAGCTTTTTTCTCGAACAACTTTTGTTAGAGCCGACTCATTCACAACTGAAGATTGTTGATTTTTTTTCGGGATCATAGCAGTATACCCATGTTTTATCACCTGTGATGATGTTGATGTAGATCTACACCATCTCACAAAGCTTACGGACTTTTAAATAAACATTACAACCCGATAAACCTTCATTTTCATCACTTATTGACGAAAGGATTGCTTTAAACTTATGTAATTGCAAACAATCAGTTGAAAACTGTCACTATTTAAACTTTTAAACAACTAGATTGAGATGTCGGACTAAATTTGATGCAAACATAACATAGATAGATATGCTCAGTAGAAAGAGAACACCCCTCGTATTTTACGTTTTTTTTTTATCTTTGTACCTTGAAATATAATTGTTTAATTAATTATAGGTTTTCATAAAAAGCGCATTAAAGGTTCGTTTAACAATCCCATTACATTCTCATACAAACAAACTTAAATAAATATATGATATTAATACCGTGACAAAGATAATATTAACGCTATTATTTCAATAGTTTGCTCAGGATAATTTAGTTAAATCGGTTTTCTGCGCTACTAACTTTTAATAACCCTAGTTCCATTATACTCGAAACTAATTAAGCTTAAATTAATTATAATATTCTGTTAGAAAAACATTGTGTTCATCTGCTTTGTTTCATGATTTCGCCAGTGACGTAGAATTTAAAGGGATGTAACTCTGTCCCTGCCGCACGCCTCTGTTGATGGTTGGAAATTATTTTTTTTACATTTTCATATCCTTAAACTTTATGTCAAATTTTTCAAAGTAATATTAATTAAACAGTGTTAAAATAATTAACTGACAAAATTAATTTTTTAAATTACCTATTTAGGTGGCTATAGGTTTCGATTTTCACCACATATAATTTCTACGATTTACAAATTTTATGTGTTCTTATAAATCCATAAACGCCTTGACTATTCTTATCTCCCTTTCCATTAAAAATAAGGCGAGAGGTACCTAAATGACGACTGATGAGGGTTTCATTTAATGTAGCTATTTTTAGCAAGATAATTATGTATTTTAAGAATAAAAACAAACGTATTTTTGGCTATCGTTTTAGCATTTCCTTCGCAAATCAGTTTAACGCAAACATTGACTTCGCTCTGTAACATTTATATTAATTCCAAATCTATATCAACTTATTTATACATAAGAAGCTGATAACTGTAATATAATAGGGATTATTAAGAATGATAGATAAGTAGTTCAAAAACTCTTGAATTTAACTTATTGCATACTTCGCACAAGGTTAAGAGGTTATAAAAAACACCAAAGAAATTTGCCCAGATCCATTCACTATAGGTATTAATCGTGATTTTTGATCCTTCCTTTTGTGTCAACACAGAGCCAGCAGCTGCTGGCATTCAAAAATAAACACGTGGTTTGTCCCGAAAACAAGAAAAGGGCTATGTCGATAAGAAAACATGGGATGGAACAGGATGCCGATAATAAATGAGAGCCGTCAGGCATAGGCGTGCGTCAAAAAATTCAAAATAATAATTTTTAAATGTGTCTTGATTTTATTATTGAATAAGATAAAGGTAGCTAATTTATAATACAGGGTGTTCCAAAAGTTGAGATTCAAAATATAAAAAAAACATTAATTCCTACGAGGAGCACTGCTAAAGTATGACTCCACTTATGAAGCACCTAATATAGAGCTATAAAAAACTATTGAAAAGTACAATTTTTTTAGAAATCTAAGTACTATTTGAAATCTGTCTGAATACTTCTTGAATACTACTGGAAAAAAAGTTTCAAGATTTTCCATACCCCAGTATATGTATCAATCAGTACTGGCACTCTGAGGCAGCATGTTTGATCTTTAAAAGTAGAAATTTTAGTTGACACTTGTCGTTTTCAGGATACCTATGAAAAGTTTTCTTTACACAAACTTGGTTATACCTGGTTAGTTGCATTTTTGTTCTGCTGCTTTTCAAATTCGTGTGTATGAGCGAGATGTGAGCTACCTTTATAGAGACAACGGTTGAACAACTTACCTACTTTGAAGAAGAAAATCGATTAGATATCAGGGCAGTCTTCGCAAATGTAAAAAGAACAGAACCGTTTTAAAATTTTTTATGTATGTGATTGAGTGTCAAAAATGTTTGAATTTCGAAACTGAAATATTAATTTAGTGAAAAGTTTAATTACTTTTAGTTCAAAATATAACGTTAGTTTGTCAAGGGAAATATATAATACACAAGGTTAGAGTAACAAAATGGAGGTTTTGCTTTATTTATTAAGAATTACTCTAATCTAAAACTTTTCTAGTTTATTGTAGAAATTCATTCTATACGTTATTTAGGTACTGCAAAATCTATAGGAAAAATAAAATTTTATAACGGAGACTTATTTAGTGTAGTTTTTTTTTACAAATATATACTCAGTGACTTGTTATTGCTTTTTTAGTTATGTGTAAGAAATGGTTATTGAACTTCAAATTAGACTGAAAGACAACTCCCAAATCCTTTACCTCATATTCACGATTTAATGTGACATCACAGGTCTTGTGTCTAATGTAAAAAATTAAGAGGCTACAGATCCTTACAATTTAAAATATGCATATGTTTGTAAGTGTTAAATAGACAGATAAAAAGTGTTGAATTTTATTTACAACTATAATAAGAACCTATTAAAAAGATTAAGAGCATTAGAACATATTTCAACAAATTTCTATAGGTGCACATATTTTTGATACCTGATAAACAATATATTTTTTGGAGTGGCAACAGGTTTATTAATACACAACTATTATTTTGATTTAATTGTTGAATTTTGAACATATCTAACAGCCATAAAAAAAAATTGTTGAATTTATACATGAGCAATTTTCCTCGTAGCATTGTATTTTTAAGTATTGTAAATCTAAAATATTTTTTAAGGATTTAAAACGGTATAATAACTGTCTTAGATGTTTTAGTTAGTATATTCACGTGAATATCCCATTTTAAATGCGAATCTATGGTCACTCCTAGATATTTATAATTTTCTTTTGAGTTTATAATAATATTTTGTGAGGAGTTTTGTATCGTTATTGTTTTATATTCTGGTAGGCATCTTATATTATTATAAAATGGAAAAAAAATGTTTTTTCATAATTTATAGTCAGTGACAGATGACCAAACCTGTCAAATATCTGTTCTAAATCATTTTCGACTTTAATTTTTAAATCGTTCCATGTTTTATCAGTATATAGGACAGCAGTGTCATTTGCAAAGCTGATAATTTTTCCACTAGAAACTGAAGTAAGCGTTACATTAATATAAATTGAAAATAAAATTGGTCCCAGGACAGTTCCTTGAGGTAAACCGTGACTAAAAGTTTTTTCTGAACTTGTGATATTATCAATTTTTACTACTTGTTAGCGTTCTGATAGTTTCGAAATAATTAATTGGGTACTCCACGTATTCCTGCATCTTCCAAGGCCTGTTACATCTGAGTATGACACACAGTATCGAAGGCCTTAGCAAGGCCCAAGAATACACATAAAGTTGGGTTACTTTTCTCTTAAAACGTTGAGATGTTATCTACAAGTTCTTCTATGGCATCATTAAATCCGAATTGTTTTTCAGAAATTACCTTATTATTTACTAAAAATTTAACAACTCTGTTTTTTAAGGCTTTTTCAAATATTTTAGCGAGAGATGTTATGACTGGGATTGGTTGTTTAATTTTTTGTTATCGCCTTTTTTATGTACCGGCGTAATAACCGCTATATTAAATTCTTGAGGTACTGTACTTGTAATAAAAATTCTATTTATGATATGACTTATAGGTTTTGACATTATATCTGAGGTTTTTCTAAGTACTTTTGATTTTATATTATCATATTCTGGAGATTTTTTAAGTTTTAGGGATTTAATTATTGTTATTATTTCTTTTTCATGTACATGTAAATGGGTTGAATGTAGATAATGTTTTTGCTACTACTGCTGGCTGGGAATGCTGGGCTGGGGGCTAGGACACCGACAAAAAAAAACAAGGAAGCACAAAGCACTAGATCAGTTTTTATCACTGATACTCTTACAATTTACAACCATTAAAGTAATTAGCATGTTGGAAATACTTCACGAAAACATATTAAACATAAATCAGTCGAATGCAATGTATTTTCTTTTTATAACACACCTTTTTAGCTTGATTACTTCTAGTACTCTATTTATTCCAATGTCCTCAAATAAAACGAGCAATAATACGTAACAATAAGGATAAAACACATACTGAAGTGTATTTGTGGTATTTTTGATCTAAATCCACTATCAAAATAACAAATTTTCTGTTTTTAAGCTGTGAATGTATTACAAAAACTACTTCGATAAAATGTAAACAAAATTTGGGTTTGTGTACGAAATATAGGTTGTCTGCGTATGGTAGCGAGTTTTTAACCGAAAACGTCAGCGCAGTAAAAACTGCGCGTCATTTTCCCGCCCAGGCAGTGTCATTATGGCTAGAATACTTAGGGCCATACGCTTAGTCAATGTCATTACGGTTTAATTTTATCCCCAGATCTGGGGAAAACTCTGGTCTAGTGGAATATAGTGATACTATTAATACTCCAGTCATTATAGTAACGAAATATTAATAAAAGTTTTTTGTTTCAGAAGAGTTTCGACTCGACCGGCGCACGATAAAAGAAACATGGTGTGATTCATTTTTGAAACTTTTTCATAGTGGCGTAAGTCCCGTTCGAGAAGGGGACGCTCTCCAATTCGTGGGGGGTATGGGCATGGGCGATAGGCCCGACGATGCGTACAGCTATCCTTTGATAGCACGCTTTTTACATTCTTTGCCCCACGTCAACGTCACCTTCCAATATGTTAACAGCTCGTTCGAGCCGAACAATCCTGTATACTTAGAGGTGAGAAATAACCAATAGAATTAAATTGATACAAATATAATAAAGAGCGATCCACCAAAAAATGTGGGTCTACTCGGTCACTCAGTTTGATTTATAACAATTATTAATCGATAACATCTGATGTGTCTTTGATCTAATTATTGAGTTACACATAGGTTATTTGTAGACCACACTAAAAACCACGGAACCCTCGGAAGCGCTCCGCACTTTGCGGAGACGGTCGGTAGTTAGAGTTTGGCGGAAATTTTGAATGTTTGCTTTTTACAGATCATTACAATTACAAATTTCGCATAAAAAAGTACCAACATATAATTTTTAGCTACATACATACAATTGAGTTTCAATTTTTACCTCTCTCTTTGCTTCTCTAGCTATTGTAGTTGAACATTGATTTTTAACCGACTTCAAAAAAGGAGGAGGTTCTCAATTTGTCGTAATATTTTTTTTATGTATGTTCAGCGATCATTATTTAACACGGTGTTCGATTTCAATGATTCTTTTTTAGTTAAAAAGAGGGTACTTCAGGGGTGGTCCCATATAAATTTGATCAACATCTAATAATTGGGTCCATGAGAAAATCCTCAAACTCTTCATTTTTTATGTATGTTGAGCGATAATGTCCGATTTCAATGTTTCTTTTTTTTTTTTTTTTTTTTTTTGTTAGAAAGGGGGTACTTCAGGGGTGGTCCCATATAAATTTGGTCAAGACGTGGTGTTGGCATCTGCACGATTTTGAAGTCGGTTTTTTAAAATTACTTTTAATACTCTCTAATAGTTTTTAATTTCTTCATTATGTCCCCCTTTATATGTCTGATATCTTTTCTTCAAGCTTCACCTCCCTTCTTCCCTTCTTTTGTTCATAAGAACATATGAAATGTATATTTTTACACACTGTATTTTTTATAGCATACTCGATACAGTCACGTTTATAACGATGAACACAGACCTTACATATTCTACAATAAAAAGTCCTGCTTTCTGTATTGACAATTCATTATAAAATATTTTCTAAAAATTGTCTCCTGTAAAAGGCTTTACCTGAAATTCGCCAAACCCTGCCTCTTGTACTTAATGAACATTGTTTGTTTTCATTGTTCCTGCAAGTTTGTTGCTTTAATCACGTCGTCTATTCTGGTAAATATATTAATATTGTCTTTCTATCTATAAAAACAAATATTTATATGTAATGAAATATTAGATATTAAAATGAAGTGGATATGTTGGTTAAAATTAGCAAACCTTCAGAATCATTTGCCACATTTTTCCATCAACCAAATTTTTAATTTCTTACCTTTTTTTTTCTTTTCAGCTGATTTGTGTTAAGTAAAATGTTTAAACTTTCCAGTACCATATTTGTATTTATACCTGCATTTATTCTATAACATTGTACTCATTTCCAAAACACAATGGGCAAATAATATGTGATTTCTTAGCATGGGAAACCTCTTGCTGGTTGTGAATATTTTTTATATGTATGTTCTTTGACGAAACAGACGAAAACTCCAAATTGCAGAAAGGATACTTTTTGTTATCAAAAACTTGAGTTTCCATACTTAATATTTTTCTCTAAATAGATCAAAAATCGTCACAAAACGGAACTTTAAAAATACTTTCACAGCGATCAAAGACAAAAATCTGCTAAACAACTTATTGATTTTTTCTTTTTCCCTCTAGTCAAATTCAAATTCGCTTCTCCCGCGCTACAACTATTTGCCGAGTAAATTCGCAAAGTTCCGAGCGCTTCTGAGGTTTCCCTGATTTTTAGTGTCGTCTGTTATTTGTTAGCGGCCCTAGCTCTTAGACTATACTTATCAAGAGACAATTTCATATAATTTCGCTGGTTTTTTAGAGTCTTGGAATATTGGGCTCCATCCCGGCGATATGGCTCATTCTGACCCTGTTCCTTCTACTCATTTACCTTTTGACGAGATGCTGTGATCGAAAACCAAGAGCCTCAAAATCTATAGCTGCTCTGAAAGTCACTTTAGCTGTCGTATCGGTTCTATGCTGTGCTGGCATAGGTTTAGGATTGTACGGCAACGATGACTTGCACAACGGAGTTACGCAAACCCTCACAGAGGGCGAGTAAGTTACTAACAAAAACAAAGTTATATAATTTAGTGGTAATGAAACTGTTTTTTCGTTTTTAGGCAAGTGGATATCCTCATATCCAAAATCCGTAACCAAACGGAAGACATAGAAAAACAATTGAGGATTCAAGCTGAACGACAAATAAAAGAAATTGCAAATGTGTTTCAAGTGCATCATAAAGATAAAACGTTAATGAACGAGGTTGAAGGATATTTTACGAAACTCATTGGTAAGTATTGTCGAATTAAGTCTTATTCAACTTAATATGAATATATGAAATTCGTAATTTATTTTATTTTATCAGGTAACAGAAACGCTACTGCCAATGCAGCCCGTGACATCCGTCAGCCGTTAGTAGGCGTCAATCTGTCATCTAGCATATCGCTGGGAGAAAAAATAGAAGGTGTACGATGGCCATTTACCATGGCCGCACTGAGCGTTTTGCTCATTTTGTGTGTGATCCTCCTGGTAGGTGTCGCAAGACACAACCGGTGTGCCCTTATTGCATTCTCGGTTTGTGGACTATTGGCGGTCATAGCGTCTTACGTTATGGCCAGCATTTATTTAGGTAAGTAAATTGTACGGTCCTTAAAATAAATAAAAATATCATATCAGTAAATAACAAATAATCAAACTAGAATATATTTTACAGCCTCCAGTGTAGCCCTGAGCGATCTGTGCATGGCGCCCGACAAATTCATTGAAGACCAGGCCAGTACTGAACTATCTAAGGAAATTCTTAGGTATTACACCAACTGCGAAAGAGCTAGAGCCAACCCATTTACGCAGCGGCTGCGAGAAGCTAAAACCATGATAGAAAACATGCGTTCCAACCTCACTGCTATGACCAAACCAGCCGAGAAACTATATCCCAACAAAGGATTAGATACCAAATTCGGGTAAGGAAAAATCATGAAGTTTCTTACAATTTTGAATCATAATTTAAATTTACAATAAACAGCAAATGGTTTTACCACCTTTTGACCTTGGTCCCGAAAATGTTTGCAAACTGGCGTCATTCAAATCATGTTGCCATAGGTATGTACTTCGATCATAGTGATATGTTCAGCATTTCAAATGAAAAAAAGTTTTATATGAAATAAAAATATTTTAAATTATTTTACCTTTCGATAAAATCAGATTGTATTATTGATTTTATTTTTTACAAATTATAACAAGAGGCACAGAAAATAATTATTAAATAACTCATATACATTTTTTTAATCAATATCATTTTTTTCACAACTGGTCTCTTGACTCAGACTCATCATTACTTGCCGTTGTACCTAAATTAATAATAATTGGTTTTAGATCAGAAACATCTAATTGCTTGTATTTTTCCCAATCGAAAACAATTATGTTTTTAGTGTGTCTTACATAATTGTCCCACTGAGTATCGGTAACATTATTCAAAGCTTCAGACCAAGTCTGAAATACATATTCCATTAACGACTTTGTTGTTAAAACTGTTTGCACTGCGACTACACAATCTCTCTACACAATCTCTGGCAGTGATATGGAGGAGTTCTTAATATTAAATGCACATTTTCCTCAACATATATCTATCTAGGTGGAATTCTTTTCGTGGTAGACTTTGACGTACAACTTCTCAAATCTGATATTTCATATCATTGATTTGATAATTAATGTTCTTTTCTTGCAACTATTTTACCTTTTGTCCAACTATAACATGGAATTGGTTCCACGTACTGCGAATGATAACTGGCATTATCGATTGTAATCAAAGAAGGATGTTTCATCTTAAACCATTTTTCAAAATTTTTTGTGTTCATATTATTATGACAATCCCTGTTTTTTATTTGACTTTTAAATATGAAGTCTGCATTTTTTATAAACCCTTCTTCATTGCCACCATGGACAATTCGAATTCCATCTCCTGTTTTTTTACTTGCAGTAGCCATTGTTTTATCTTGCCATTTTTTCTGTCACTTCCCTTGCTTGTCTCATCCACAAATACAAGCTTAAAGTTACCCAACTCTATTTCCTTGTTAACATTTTATCAAAAACGATGTTCTTTCCAATAAAAACTATTGTCACTTCTTTTAAAGCGAAAGCCAATTTTTCGAATCCATGAATACATTTCTTCCAAAAATCGTTTATGTAACTTGCCTCAACTCACTTAATATTAAAGAATTGACTTTGGTTTTACTTTGGCTTACTTTTTTAGACAATATTTTCACATAACCTTTATCAGAATTTGTTGGTTTACCAAATCTATAGATAGTTTTCTGCGAAATAAAAGTTTTCGATTGATCATTAAATCGTTTCACCATTTTGTTGAATACTTATAAAAACTTTTCAAATATCAAAATATACAAATTTTTAACAAATTGACAAATTCAAAATTATTTTGTTGGCTGCCACCTGACATAATAACATTAGCTGTCGCTTCGTCTATGTTTCGATACCGCAGGACAGACAAACGAATTCCTTCAAGAAGCTACCAGAGAAATAAAGAGAGAAATTCCAAAGATTCTAGACCATCGAGAATGTACTCGTCTAGAGCTAGCTTTATATAAATAGCGTAACTTTGTCGGTAGACAAGGTATCACTGTGCGAATCCGGGGCGGGTCGCTAGTTTGTCTTATAAATTAGAGGTCTGTCTCAGCCTTTTCCTGTTCGACTGAATCTCCACACATGCATTGACATATGACGCCACTTTGCAACCTTTAAGGACCGAGGTACAATTGTTTCATTATTAATTTGTTATTTATTTTCAGTTCTCTGAGAAACGATATCAACACCGCCGACAACTACATTCACTCATTGACTGCGCTGGTAGATTGCCGTAACCTACACTTGCACTATTTAAGAGGCGCTAGGGCGCTGTGTTCGGTTGGATTAAATGGCTTGACTCTCATGTTGATATCTTCGGTACTAGCTGGCTTTTTGCTTACCGTTTTGGTTTGGGTCGATTCTCACACTTGGATTTATATTAGAAAGAAGTAAGTGTTGTTTATTGCATTTTATGAATAACAATGTTTAATAACCCCTTTTTTTGCAGGAAAGACTACCAGCAAGTGACGGAGCACGATTCGTACCTACCACCACCGCAAGCGAGTCAGGCGATAGCAGCGCGCACTCTTCAACGCAGCCAAGGGTCGTCTTATCCCCCTGATACACCCCCGCCTAGTTACACATCCGCTTTGATGCATAATCGAACGTTGCATGCCAATGCCACCGCTCCCCCATCAGAGCATGAAGCCGAATTTCTATTGTATTAGTTTATTTTTATTTTATTTTTTTCTTTATACAGGATTAAGTCACTTTGAACTGAACAAGTTTCGAAATAGAGTAGAACAAGTAAATAGATAGATTGAACAGTAACTATATTAAAATGCTAATTAAAAAGCTATTAAGTGATGGATTTTCAACGAGTACGACTGAAATTACATCATCAATTAACTTTCCTTCTGTTCAACTTTATTGCCAGAACTTGTTTTGTATTCAGAACCGCTATGCTATTTATTTATTTAAAAAGAAGAAACGCTTGGAATGTCACTCTCCTAAAAAAATATCTAGAACTGACGACCTTTTAGTCTTAAATAATATCTAATATTTCACGTATTTGGGTAGCTTCTACATCAGTACTCTTTTAAATAACTTTCTAATCCCAAAACTCACATTTTGAACCTGTACAGCTTCTAATAAATCTAGAACCAATACAATCGTTCTTTTATACATACACATTGGAACTAACTCTCTTCCTAAGAAATTTTTTTACAAATCGCCCTTATCAACTAATCTGCTGCTTTTGCTCAACTGGTTCATAATACTTACATACTATTTTCGTGTATATTAACCCAAACAAAAAATACAATCCAGGGCGTCATTTATGTTGGAGGAAGTGGACAGTCGATCGAAGTTAGTCTAAACGAGATGATGTTTGACCTCAATGCCCATTAATTTTACTCTTTTTTCTTGAAGCATTTGATCGGAACCTGAAGTTCTTTCAATAATGTAAGATTTAAAATAATAATAATGAATAAATAAATGAACAAAGAATAAAACAAAAATTACATGATGAATCTGTTGTAACTTGGTCCGGTTCAAAGTAACAAAAACTTAAATCTGTATTATTTTCGTTTTGTTTTTCTACTATTTTTCTTTAAATTCTATGTCCCTCTTAATTATTAATTCACTAGTAAGTCAAACATAAATAACTGGGATATAGAATTGTTTTTTTTTTCTGCAATACATACCTAAGTAGTTATCTAAAGACAACATCATACTTTTTAACACTTATAATTTGCTGTTTATTTTATCTTTTTTCAAGTTTGATTAGCAAATATCATTTGAGCAGTATTCCTTGAATTAATTTGTTACCTCCTATATTTTGATTAATTTGAAATCATTTACTTTACTTTTTTAAAAACAAAAGTAACTGTGACTGCATGAAGTTATTTCAGGGATTAATGTCATTTGTCAAAGCTGTTTGATAGCTTTAAAATGGTTAAATTGGCATTTTCTATCTTGTTATGTATAAAAATAGATTTCTTAAAAAATACTCATTTTTATGGAAATTCCCGAAGCAAGTTGACTTTTAATTTCAATCTGTCACATTTTGAATAAAATGTTATATACATGGTGAATCCTAAGATGATAATCTTTTTAAACTGCCTATAGAAGTCATTAAAATAAACAACTTCTTCAAAATAACTCAAAAATAAGAAACTTACATTAATTTATTCCAAAATGTATCCGATACGGTCCTGTCTAACTTAAATAATGTCTAGAACTTTAATCGAAATATGTGGATGACATTCATGTCTTTGTAAGAACCATTCACAAAACTGAACTATGAGAGGGAAAGTTGTAGTTCTTGAATACTTTGAACAATTGATTTTCCTGCAATGTTGTCTAAACTTTTCTTTGAATTACTCTCACCTTATCTTTAATCACCTGCCTACTTGTTGGATCTTCATAACATTTAATAGGTGTTCTTCTAAACACACTTCGTTTACAATTTACCACACTGAGCAATTTAAATTCACTATTTCAGATAAACGCGCTACTGAAATCACACGCTACTGAATTTCATACAATAAATCGTGATTGAGACAAACCAAAAAAAAGATAACAAACAGGCTCAATAGTTAGCTTTAGTTTTCATACATAAGTCCATGCCGGTATTTATATTTTTAACAGATTTCAAAAAAGGAGGTTCTCAATTCGTCCGATTTCAATGATTATTTTTTTTGTTTGAAAGAGGGTACTTTAGGAGTGGTCCAATATTAATTTGGTCAAAATCTAATAATTGGGTCCATTAGAAAATCCTCAAACTCTTCATTTTTAATATATGTTTAGCGGTAATTCTTTACCACCTTGTCCAATTTCTACGATTCTTTTTTTTTGTTGTTAATAAGGGGGTACCTTAGGGGTGGTCTAACATAAATTTGGTCAAAATCTAATAATTGGGTCCATGAGAAAAATCCTCAAACTCTTCATTTTTATGTATATTTAGTGATAATTCTTTACCACCTTGTCCGATTTATATTATTCTTTTTTTGTTAGTAAGGCATCTGCACGATTTTGATGTCGGTTTTTTAAAATTACTTTTAATACATGTTTAATTCTGTATCTTTCTTATTTGAAAAACATGTTTATTAAAGACTTCTATACACAGTTAAAAAAGTATCAACGATTCACCCTATATACAAGGTGAGCATGTGAGTAATGATGTTAGCGACAATTTTTTTTTAAATGGAACATCCTATATATTATTTCATTTTTGGAGTAGCCAAGGAAAGCTAAATTTAAAAGTATATCACCCATATACATGCTCGTAAAGTAGTGGATAAATTTATTAAAAATTCAAGACTTAACTTTTTGAAAAATGTTTGAAACTGTCAATCAAAAGAAATTAATACATACACGATGATTCGTGTAGGAAAAATGATGCCATCGGTATTTTTTTAATATTGAACCCAGCAAAGCGCAGTATATAAACCCTATGTGTGATATATTTTTGAATTCTGCTCTCTATATCGATTTAAAAAAAATATGTACAGGATGGTCCACCCGTAACGCCTCGGTCTGTAGGGCCAAAACTATTTAATTTTTTAAAATCAGAAAAAGTCACAATTTAAAAATAATTTAATTTATACATGGTTCTCCAAGAAAGTGATACATGCCAAAGTTAGGTTTTTTAAATGGGATATTTTATTTTATATTTGAATTGCCCTCGCTTTTCCCATTTTAACAATACAAAATAGTATGAGATTGTACAGGGTATTTCCTGTGCTATACCAGTTTTATATGAAAATCGTAATCATTTCAATCATCTGTATACTGCAAAAGAAACGACTGAAAACCAATTTTTTGCGGTAAAAGATTTTGGATATTAGTAAAAATATAATGCTGATGCACAACTTTTTCATTTCAAAACAAATCTGTACAGGGTGAGTCAAAACCTAACTTTGATATGTATCACTTTCTTGAAGAATCCTGTATAATTGAAGACCTCACTGGAAGAACATTGTGACCAACAAAATATATTTTTTTCATGAGAAAGGATTTATTGTTTTTTTTTTATTGTTATCAGCTTTTTTAAACTGTGGAACATCAATATTAAAATTAATAGTGTTTAATATTATTTTTTCATTGTTTAAAAAAGCAGATAACAACAAAAAAACAAAAAATGTTTACAGCGTTCTTCCAGGAAGGTTTTCAATTGAAATTATTTTTAATTTTTTTTTTTTTTTTCGATACACATCTTGTTATGAGAATATATTTTTAAAAAGCAAATAGTTTTAGGCCTACAGACCGAGGCGTTACCGGTGGCCCAGTCTAAGATGTCCCATTTTAAAATTTGTCCCTGACGTCATTACTTACATGTTTATCACCCTGTATACACAACATTTTGTTCAAAATGTGTCAAATTGAAATTAAAAAACAATCTGTTTCGGAAATTTTTTTAAAAATGGATATTTTGGCTAAAAATTAATTAATTCACTATTTTACCATTTTCTCAGCTGTCAAACTATAAAGATTATAGTATAGAGTCCTTAAATGTCTTTGTCAAAAAAGAAAATAATTGAAGGGCTTATTGGAATAATATGACAAACTACAAATTTAATTTCTTAAGAAAACACGTCTTTAAAAGTCTAAATATACTTCCAAAACTACTACAACTTTGTTTAAATTCAATAACTTGGTTTATGGCTTTTGTAACCAAATTTTTTCAGTAAGCCCTTCAAAAGTTACCATTTAGATACTCTGGGCTAAGAACATCTTTTTTGCTTTTTATTTTTAATTTCATTAGATGATGTTGTTTTCTAAGCTAGCCAGTCCTTAGAATGCATTATATAAAGTAATATTTAATACAAATTTTGTCACATTAAGAAATTTTGTATCTAGAAGCAATAAAGTTTCAAGTTAAACGATCAAATGACAATTATATCTTTTACAATTCAATCGGAAGTTTTTTTTTTTTTAACCATGTCGAACCAAAAGTATGGGTGTCGTTGTATTGGGCGACTATTGCTTCTCTACAACTTAGGCTTGGTGACAAAACCGGACAAACCGGAATAAAAGGAACCCTTTGATCTGATTTACAGAGATGGGTGCGACATGCGACCAGCCGAACACTACCGCAACAGCGCCCATATGTCACATCTCCGGGGACACACGCTGGGCCGATTGCCCTCCCACCATCACGAACCCGCACTGCCGGGTCCCAATAATGGAAAGTACGCGACTTTGAGCAAACAGTGCAAGACGCTAGAGAGTTCAGACTTCTACTGAGACAGGTCAGTACAAGATCTAATCGCCTTTTTTGAAAAAATAGTTTTTTTTTAGTTGATTTCAGGTATTACATAGACTTTTAATCATGTTTGAAAATATTACCACATTAAAAAGTTTATTATATTTAAAATCTGCACCTAGTTTCGGCTAACGAGTCATCATCAGGCAGTAAAATGGAAGTTATTACACCAAAATACAAATGGTACCGCAGTCCCATGAGAAATAGTATTTTTCCTATGAGAATTTATATTTTGTATTCTCGACACATCCACTAGGAATATTTTCTCATGAAAAGTATGAAAGCAAATACACTTGGTATTTGGCATGGGAAATCAAATTTCCAATGGAAATATTGGTCACATTTGCTATTTTCTTGTAACTTTAAATAATATTATTTCTAATGACCTTGTTTTTTAAAAATGGGGAAAGCTATTTTACTTCTCCAATTAAACTATATAAAAGAGACAGAAAGCGGAGCCTCAAGAGATTTTTGGATTAAGTGGAAAAATGAGGGAGCAGATCCCTTTGAATCTTTTAAATGAAACCAAAATTACTTAGATTTTCAAAAGAGGATATGGAAACAGTAATAGATCCCCAATTTTTTTCTTGAGTCTTAGACATATTTTTTTCCTTGTATCCTTCGTTGTATCGATCAGCACAGTATTGGTTTACTCAAGGAAAGAACAAGAATTAAAAATTGACATTATTATCATTGATACTAAATCCAGTAAGAACAACTTGAAAGTATTGAAATATCTTGATGTTTATTGGTCAGTTTCCAATATTTTCATATTTAATACCAGATATACCAATAATCAAAATTCCTATAGAAATTACATTCTTAACCTAGTGCAGAATACTGTTTTATCATACAACTGAAAATAAGCAATATAATTTTTACCCCTGCGAAAATGTTACCGTGAAGTCTAGAATCGAGGCCCAGGAAGGAATTAGGATCTACTGCAGCAAAGAATGTTTACTTTGGGTTGATTGAATCTAATCTAAGAAATACAGTTTTGGGGAGTATGCAGTAAAGAACTGTTCCATAGTACATTTGTTCTCTAAAAACAAGCTGTTCATCGACTATGTTAAACAAAATATTCTATCTATTTCAGGCTACTCTTTAAAACTCATCTGATCTATAATTACTTGTTCTAACGAAAACAAACCTTTCCTTTAACCACTTCACACCAATTTTTACAACTCTTTATGTTCCCCCTTTCTTTCTTGATCTTTTCTTGTTAACGCATCAGTCACCACATTCATCATCCCAGGAATAAATACAATTTCAAAATCACACTCTTGTAAAATCTATATCCATCTTCGGATCCTACAGTTTCCAAATCTATTTTTTAGTATTGTAGTTAAACACACGATAAAAACGTAATTTACTGATACAAAAAATTATAATTGCTAACTCTAACAAAGGTACACTATAATTCCTTTTATACTTCTTTCATACAAAACAACCTGTTTAATTTTGTACTAAAACCACTGCTTAAATTTCATCTTTCTAAACTTTGTATCCTATCATAATCTATTCTTACTCAAAAATATTTTGTTATCTTCTAAACTCTACAAACATCACTAATTGTAACAATGTCTCTTTCGACGTTTCTTGAAATTGTTATTCAGATTCATCGCTACTGAAATCACTATCATCGTTGTTTGGTGTAATAATAATTGGATCAATTTCTATTCTATCAATTATTCCATCTCTATCGTACCATTTTGAGATTTCTTTTTCTGTATGGCTGATAGTTTTTTTCCAAATTTGTGGAGTTATGATCCGGAGTGCTTCTAACCACATATTTAAACAATCTTCTTTTTTTTACCATCTCGACCAATATGTCTATTGTAATATTGCTTTTTAATGCCCCAAATAAGATCAATTGGATTGAATATACAGTGATAAGGAGGAAGGCGTAATACTTTATATCCGTAATGTTCTAGAAGATCAGCCATGTACATTTTTTGTCGTTTATTTCTAAAAAAAAAAGTAATTGAGAAATTACAAACGAAACAGATTTCTTTTACTGACTGTGCAACAAGATTCAGAAGTTCCGCTTTAAACATAGCAAACGAAAATCTAATATGTATTCTGATTTGTCAGCCACTCTTATATTTTAGTATTTGTCCAGTTAGCGTTTGGTGTTTTATGTAACAATGTACTGTGATATGAATCATTGTCCATTATGGTTAAGGATGGTTCATTAAGTTTTTTCAGTAACTGTTTAAAGTTCCATTTTGAAAAATCCACGTTTCATCAATAAAAAAAACTGAAATAAACCTGTTTCCTGTTCTTTCATGTAATTTTTTAAAAATACAACCCGTTTCACAGCAATATCGGAAAGTTCAATAAGCCCTAACTTGGATCATCTTTTTACCATTTAAAATCAATATCTTTTAATAAGGTGCATAATGACATGCTGCATCCATTAAACAATTCTTTTTTCTTTCAATTTTTCTAATAAAGAATCCAAAGTTACATGTTCGTCAGCAAACAAATATATAGGTATTTATAATTAGTTGATATAAAATGAATAATCTACTCTTACTAGCTTCGTACATGTTGTAAATAACATCTCGAATTATACTTGTATCTAGAGTTCTTGTATTAGTTACTTTTTTATATGAAGACGCTTTTTTGGAGGCGATTTAAAAAACATCATTCTAAGCTGCTTGAGAAATAGCACTTACAGTGGACAAATTTTAGTTGCCGAAATGAGGTTAGTTTAATGTTTCTAGACAATATCAGTACTTCTCTAACAGCAGTTAAAGGTAGTAAAGGTTATCGCATTCTTGTTCAAAATACTGTATCAATGAAGCTATGAGCTGCTTACATCGGCTAATTAATTTCTTTAGCCATGGCCGTTTTTATCTAACAGTCGGGCCATTTAATAATTTTGTATTTGTCTATAATAATTTATTACACTGCCCGGTCATTATAAATACTGCTATTATTTTCTGGGCACTTTATTCTTTATTGGTTACTAGAATTAGCTAAATAAGTACATTTTCTCAAAATTTTAATGATTCTAACAATTTTAGTAATCATGACCATTTATAGAGCATTTTAAATCTTCAATAAATAGTTAAAAACCAATTTAACTATAATCAACACTACAATCCTATATCCCCTGCTTTCAAATTATGTCGACAAGTCGGCCTTTTATTTTCACAGTCGACGATGTTTCCAAATGTAATGCTCCGGCCCTTTAGGTAAAGAAGGCCATGCTTTGGCATTTTTAAACCTGCGAGGAAGACAATATGGTTGTTTAAAAAACAAATTGCAATTACAAGACACAATAAATATATGACAACATTGAACACATACTTTGATTTTATTTACGATACGGTGCAAGAGAGAGGTCCGACACGCCCAACATAGGGCGCGGCCATTTTGATTCCTATGCCACAGTTTATAGCTAAAGAATCAGATCGCTCACTCTGCGTCGGCACTTTTGATCTCAATGTTCCAGTTTATACACTGTGCAACTCGGATAATACAATATATGACAACCGCCTATAATAAAACAGCAGTCTTCTGCGTATCCTGAATTTGTATCCCTGGAGTGGATGTTATTTTGGAACTTTCAACTGGTCCGAGTGAGCTAACTGATTCTTTAGCAATAAACTGTGACTCCAAAAATAATATTCACTGACACTGACAACAGCAAGCAAAATATCAGGTGCGTTTTAATCATGCGCTTCTGCTTCCGGAATTGTCGGTTTAGTCGTTTTAACCTGTCAGATTAAAACAAAAAAACCGACAATTCCGAAGCAGAAGCGGATGATTAAAACGCACATATTAAAAACATTGCGCCAAGATGTAGGCAACATGTAATAAGGGATCAAAATGGCGGAGTTTTCTATCTCCTTTTAAAAGGCACTCAGAAAGCTGCGCAGTGCGACCATTCTCCGTATAGTAAAAGAAAATCAAAGTATGTGACATTGAACTTAAAATGTCAGTTCGTAAAAAAATACCAACTTTATTATAAACTTATCTGTCGCTATACAATTGACAACTCATAGGCGTAGGAATTTCAATGTTATAGAATTAAAAAATAACAACGCGATTTAACCATAATAAGGATGATAAAAATAATTTTATACTTGTATTAGTTTATCTTTAATGCAACTAAATAAGAAAATAAAGTAAATAAATATTTATCGTCATGATATGATAGAAAATAAATTACGAACAAGTTATCTCTAAAAAAAATACGCACGCCAATTCAACTAGTGTTCAAACAGACCTTCAAATCGTAATATTTCATTTGTTGGTATTACTGCAGTAGAAGAAATACGTCATCGATGACGTGCATTGGTTTTTATATTGTATGAAGTATACAAAAAATTATACTTGCTAACTCTAACTTTGATACGATATAATTCCTTTCGTACTTTCTTGTCATTCTTGATAAAAAGTAAATGGCTATTTCTAAACCTTTTTGATTTTGTATTAAAACCCCTGCTCAAATTCCACCCTTTTAATCTTTCAATCCTATCTACACCCTATTCTCACTCAAAAATATTATCTTATCTCATATACTCTACAAACATCAGATACATGCACTATATTCTTTCTATGCCAAAATCAACAATTCAAATGAAAAAAACTATTAAACAATCTTTCCAAATCACAGAATTCCAAAAATATCAATCTCCCTTTAAAAATCCTTGCCCCACGTTGGTTGGCGACACAATATGAAAACACCCTGTATAACAATTTTTCAAAATTTGCCAAGATTTTCAAAAGGGGTGGTTCGGTCCAAAAATTTACAAATACTATGTACCAAATTTTATATTAAAAAAAAAAAAATAAACAAATTTTCAATTTCTTCATTCTTCTTACTTCCCCCGATTACTCCTTGTCTCCTCTGATGTGCTATTTGCAACTCTCCCTGTCTTTCAATGTGTTTACCTATGCTGCCTTGCCTGTCTCTGCGTTTCTGGTTCCCTCTGCAAAGTTTGCTGCAATCCGCTTCATCTTTCCTTCTAATCTTTGTAATATTAAAACTTTTTTACTTTTTTCATTTATATGTCTTTTTATTTTTAATTTCCTTTCAATATAACAATTCTACAAATTTTTCGTCTACATCCATTTTACATCCTCGATTTTTTTTTAATTTCCCACTGAAAATGAATACTTTCCATGTGACAAAATCAACAACCCCCGACATTCTGTTTTTCTAATTTAATTTTGATTCCCAGAAACTTCATCACTCCAACATAATTTAATTTTGACGACATCAGGAATTTCCATATAAATATTCTTCTCCTTTTTGTATTATTTTGCTGATATAACAACTCATTTGATTGCTTGATGATGGCTCTTTAGCCGAAACTCGTTGCATCTTTTAAATCTAATAAACTATTTTATGTGGTATCGATTCAGAGTTGCCTTTATTTATTTGAATATTTTATATTTCAGGTCTGCCTGCAAGGAATTCCCAAGCTTTAAAGGTCTTAAGTTAACCAATCAGCAGCAACAGAACGTTCCGCAGGCCCCCGACACACAACGAACAGCTAACATTCAAAAATACAGTTCGTTAGGTCGGCGGCCCTTGCCCCAGACGCCCGACGAGAAGGCCAGGAAACAACCCGCGGTACCGAGGGTTCCACCTACCATCTCATCGCAGTGCATCATCGAAACACCATTGAACCCAGCAAATTTCAGATCTTTGCAAAGGGGCGCGTGGCAAGATACCCCCAGCACCTTCCAACCCAACGTACAGTTCAGATCTCTGCAGAGAACTGCGGGGGCCCAATTCAGGCCCGCCAGAGTGCAGGATCAAACTCACGGGGAGGTATTGTATGCCAACAGCGAGAGCGAACGACAGTTGTATGCTGTGACGGAGTTGTAATTTGATTTCATTGAGTTTCTTCTTGGGAAATGCAGGCAGATAGACAATAGTTGTTGAGTTTTTTTTTAAATTTTGGTTTTTATTTTCAGAATTTTGTTGATTTTTATTTTAAACAGAGGTGGTTTTATTTTGAAGAAGGTCTACGACCTTTCGTATGTATGTATGGAAAGGAATATAATTTTTAAATATTTCTTATGGATGAAAGAGGGTAAAGATATACCGAGTGTCTCTTTTAATGGTCATAATACGAAGGCTTGAAGATTTAAATCGTTTAGTTTAATTATGTTTATATTTCCTGATTAAAAAATATAAAGTTATGTAGTTCAAGTTACAGAAAACCAGATATTTGCTTAAAAAAAATTCAAGTAACTTTCTAAAAATAAAGACTGGTACTTTATGGATTTTAAGACAGCAAAATATGTCACAATAAAACATAATTACTGTATAAAGCTTTAAAATTGTCAAGAGACGACAGAAAAAAAATAATGAATGATCTGAAGAGATTAAAGACTGGAAAAGCAAGCAACATAAAGAGATTATTGTCAAAATCCTATAGAGCAGTTTTGTTTTAAATATTTATTAAAAAACTAAATAAAAATATCTACCTCTATCTTCTGCCATATATTTAAGGGTGCTACAAGTATTCATTGATCGTTTTATAAGAGATAGTCGGTGTATGGGATTAAAAAAATGAAGTTATAATACAGAATACTTTTGTTCTGTAGAATATTTATTTGGGAACTGTTTTGATTGAAAGAAAAAATGGCTATTTTGATTTTTGATTTTAAATTTAAAAAAAAAGACATGATATTGTAAATGTAGATACATTTTAGTACAACACAAAGGCAAACGATTTTCAATAAGTAAGAAAAAAATTAAGACTTAATTTTTTAAGGTGCCTAGACCTATTTATGACTAGTAGAAATGTATTTCATAAGATCTTATAAAACTTTACAAAAGTCCTTTATTTTATTTTTTTGTAATTTAAAAGAGAACTGATAAGCACACATTTATTTATTATTTGACTTGTTACACTTTTGGATTTTTGTTATTTTTTTTTTTTTTAAAGTTTATCAAGGACATTTTTTTTATTTTTATCACTTGACGTGATACTTCGCACCAAAAATGTTTTTTTTTCTAAAGTCGTATTTTAGGCTCAAAATAAAAAAGATTGTCAACCACTGTGAACCACAATTACTTTAAAAAAACGTGTATATAAAATAGGATAAGATAATATCGAAGTGATACGGTATTTTTGAGATCAAAATGTTACCAACAAAAAAAGCATTCCACAAACCCTATAGACTGTTCCTATTTGGATTAAAATAAAAAATTTATCATTTCCGATATAGCTGGTATAATTAGAAATATCACGTTTGTGTTCTAAATTTTTATTTTTTGTAAAAAAATTTAGGACATAAATTTTTTTATTCATCACATTTTTATAAACTTTTCTAATTGTGATCATTTTTTACTATGTTAACCTTATATAATTATTATATTTATACTTTTTTATTTTTTATTGATGTAAATTATTAATGAAAGGTACACTTCGCTCGTTAACGTATGCAGGTTGAAAATCAAATCAAATTATTCCGAGTGAGTAACCATAGGCGGAGCATTCACATTTTTTAAAGGTTTACAGTGTATTCGGATATTTGTGACATAGATTTTTTCTTATTTCAGAAAAAAACCTGTAAATTTGTTAAAAGTAATAAAACGAACTAAATTTCTACGTCTAACCAATCATCTTACTTACCTATTCACCACACAAAATGCCTTCATTGGAAAATATATATATACATTTTTTGGAATTTGATTTTTTTAAAACAATGTCAGGTGTCAGAATTACCCTACAAAAATTCTATTTGTGACACTTTTTGGTTTTAATTACGACACACCACTAAAATTAACATTTATATCCATAAAGCTTGGTAGTTTTAATTGCGACTTATTTTAATGGTCTAAATCTGAAATTACAAAAAATTGAAAAGAAAAATTAGCACTAATTTGTGCATGAAACTAAAAAAAATCTGTGTCTTATAACAAAATAAGTATTTTCACTACAAATTAGGAACAAAATAATAATGCCTATGTCTGTACATAAAACTAAAAAACATCTGTTTTATAACAAAATAGGTATTTGCTCTATAAATAAGAAACAAAATATTTATACCCAAGTACACAAAACTAAAAAACATCTTTGTTTTGTAACGAAAAGGACAAAATAATAAAAAAAGTTAATAAACATTAAGGCCATCAAACTTCACTGAAAAGATCATTTCATTTCGTCTTCCCTCAGTGAGTTTGAAAGTATAGTACACTGGCGAGCAAAAAATTGAGGTCACCTTAAAATTTTCATGTTTTTTGAAGTTTTACGTTTTCAGATCGTATTCGCAAACTGTACATCATTGCATGTGCTTTTGTAAGCTGAATGTGATACTCTATACTAAACAGAAATGCATTTTTTTCTTGGATTTCATGATTTATTCTGAAAAAGCAACAAATTAACATTTTGTTGTAAGGGAAAATATGGAACGAACAAAATGAAAATACTTGACACCAATAACGTGTATTCCCTCCTCTTGCATTGATGACTGCTTGAAGTCAGCGCGGCATACTTTGAATTAAGTTGCGAATCACATTCTGGTCGATGTTATCCCATTCCTGCAACAGCAATCTTCTCATCTCCTAGGCAGTTCTTGGTGCTGGTGTGTGTCTGCGGATCCGTCGTTCCAACTCGTCCCAGACATGTTCTATGGGATTCATGTCTGGGCTGCGGGCTGGCCAGTGAAACCGCCTGATTTCTACCTCTTCCAGATACTCCCTGACAATTCTGGTTGTATGTGATCTCGCATTATCTTGCATAAAAATGCCACGTTCCCCCATGGTCACCATGAAAGGCATAACATGGCCTTCTAGTACCTCCGTAATGTACCTGTGAGAGGTTATGGAACCATTTTCTATGAAGACCAACTCTGTACGAAGACGCTCGTCAATGCAAACTTCACTGACCCAGTGAAGCAAAAACGCGACTCATCTGAGAACAATATACCCAGCTTCAGTCATCATCATTCCAACGAACGTGATCTCTGGCAAATGTCAATCTTGCAGTCCGATGCTGGAGTTGCAACGGGGGACCTGTAGTCATTCTTCTGCATGACAGTCCAGCAGCATGAAGTCTTCTTCTAACGGTCCATTCACTAATGTTGACATTTCTTACTTCTTCCAACTGATTTCGCAGTAGCTGTCCTATTCTGCAAACTTGTGGACACCAAAAAACGGTCATCTCGTTGAGTGGTAACTCTTTTTTTCGCCCAGACCCTGGTCTTCTAGTGATCAGGCAGGTCTCCAGAAAGCGCTGGTACACCCTTTGCACACCACAAAGACTAGCACCAACAATTCTTGCAGTTTCACGTTGCCTCCGACCATCTTGTAACAGCGCAACAATTCTTGCCACGACAATCGGATCTAAAGGCATTATGGGCCTGTTAAATCACTACACTTTGCAATCGTTAGGTTTTACACAAAGAATCAACAGTAAACTGGAAAGCAGACAAGGGAAATGTGAATGTTCAATTAGCATAAAGGCACATTTTTCATAAAAGTCGTACAAACGCCTTTGTATTCTAATAAATCGAATGACAGCTGTCAAGTCTCGAAAAACAATTGCTTCAACGCCTACTAATACTATTATGTCCTTATCAATATTGACGCTAAAATTATTCGCAATTTCTGAAGTGAACTCAATTTTTTGCTCGCCAGTGTATATATAGCATCAGTGGACACACTATATATTCAAAAATTGGCCAAACAAATACATTATTTCTCTTTTTTCGTAAAAACTTAACCAATAGCTTATCTTCTGCAGAAACTTCCAATATAGGTCCAACATACCTTTTCGTAATTTTGGTTGTTTTATAATCAACTAGGGCCCAGCTACCCTCCTTTACGTCATTAGGGTTTTCCAGTTCCTTTTCATAATTTAACTCCTCTTATTCATTTTCTACTAAATGTTTGAGAGTTAGAATTCCATCGGTGTCACTACTGATTGATATTTCGTGTTCTATTTCTTCAACTTCAGTTTCTATTTGGCTCTCTGAATCTTGTTCAACAAATTTCCCCTTTGAAACATTTTTCTTTTCAACGCTCTGTTTCTTCAACTGTAATAAACAATCTCTAGTAAGTATCTCTTCAGTATTGTTGCTAATTTTTTTGCGTTTCTTCACGTCTTTATTTTCTTTTGCAATCTTATCTATTATCAGAGATTCAAAAGAGGTAATTGGGCCTTTTTGGGCTTTTACTAGTAGAAGGAACCGGTTCCATATCGTCTTCAGAGTCCATTCTTGAAGATAATTTGGTCTGAAGATTGATTCTTTAACAACAGTTCTATCTACAGGGTTATCTGGATTATTATGATTAAATAAGCCAGTCAACTGAAATGATTTTTTCAATAATTGCTGTGGAAATTCTGTCCAAATTTTTCCTACTAAAATGGAGAAGTCTGTTTTGGTTAGGGGACGTCCGTAGTGTTGTCGCTGCCATACAGTTAACTCTTCAGCCCATGATTTTTGAAAAACACCAAACGCGAGCGAATCCAACGGCTGCAGAATATGCGTCGTGTGCGGAGGTAGTTTGAGAAGACAAATGTTTTCCTTAATAGCTAATTCTATTAGATCCAAAGATGAGTGCGATGAATAACCATCGAAAATAACAAAAAGAGGCCGTTTTTTTGGGCAATGCTTTAAAAAGTGGTTTTTAAACCAGTTAAAAAATGCTATTTCCGTTATTCATCTGCGTAGGGTAGCAGCATATCCAGTGTTTGGATAAGCTTCCTCAGACATCCAAATATCCCATAGGTGCTTTGCATGATAAAAGATAAATGGAGGCATCTTGTCACCTTTGCCGAAATTGTAAATAATATCGAAGTGTTAGTCCTCCCAGTACCAGCAGTTTGACGAAACACAGGTTGATGGGTCTGAGCATAATGATGTCTCATAAAGGTTAAAAATTTGGCTTGGTTTATCAAGTAATCCCAGTTCTTTCAGTTTTGACTCATACAAATCGTAAAAACCATAAATTATTTCCGGCATCGTCTGTTCTGTTCTAATAATTGGTCTTTTTATAGATTTTTTTACAAGAAAGACCATGTCGCTTTCTAAAACCCACATCATTTTCTTGCACATATCTTCCAACAAGTACCAGTATCTCTTTCCGGTAAAGACCGAAACCCCATTTACTTAGTGTCTTTAAATACAACGTCAACTTTTCTTCTATTTCGGGGATCAAGTCTACACGGTATTTTCCAACCTTTGGTACAAGAAATTAGTGTAAATCTGGGAACTCGAAAAATTTCCGCTGCCTTTTTAACAGAATAGATATTTTCTCTAATACTTTTTATTGCTTTTGCTAGATCTTCTGGTGTGTAGGATTTCACTTTTTTTTTCTTTATTTTTTGGCATTTTGATTGCAATCTATAACAAAAATGTTCAAGTTTTTATGGATTATGGACTATAAATGCTTTTTTTTTTAATAATATTTCGTTAGTGTGTAACTATAATGTGTATGTACTGTATCCTGATAATACAATGAGGTACATACTGTACACTAATCGAAAAGATACGACTTACCTCGGACGAACCGGCAGAGCAGCGGCAACACGAAATCTCATCTGTGTAATGGGGGACGCTGAAAAACGTGTGCTACATGCGTAGCGCTCTTAACACGCGGGAAATTTAAATGAAAAGAAAATGTCACAAATACGCGAATGCACTGTATTGAATAAAAAAATTTCGATAATTAAATATCAAAAATAAGCGTTTGTATCCTTCTTTAGTAATTTTACTCTACCAGAATTTACGTAGGTATAAGGGCACACAATGTTTTAAATAAAAACTTTCCAGTTGGGTTATACAAAGAATGAGATTGGTTTTATGTAAGTAAATCAAATATTTAGTGTCATTTTTTTTGTCATAGATATATTTTAGGTGGAGCAAGTTGTGAATATTTATAATATGAGTACTGATTTTGCAAACGTTGCTCAAAAATTTAAAATGTGGATAAAGTGAGCACCAATTGTATATAAATAACTTTCAACGGAGTTAAGCAAGATATACATCAATGTGATTTCAGGGAATACTAAAAAGAACTCTATTTTTAAAATTTGGTTTTGAAGTATATATGTAATGTCAATTAAATGACATTGCGCAAAATTAACTGCAGAGTTTTGATATTTCCTGTGCATGTGCCATGTTTTTTTTCTCTCAAAAATTTGGTGAATATCTTGTTCAGCTTGACAATAGCGTTTTTATTTGTCCAGTTTATTGTTGAGGCAAGACCAAGCATAGCTTCGGTTTGGTTAATTAGAATGTTTTGGTATAATTAGTAATTAGAAACTAGTTTAAGTAAAATAGTCAATCCATTTGTTCCATAACAAATAAATTGTATACCTTTTGTTTTTAAATAACACGGTAATGCCAAATGGGGCTTTTTTAAGATTTTATAATCTTTATGTACCCATCGGTATGGCAATCTTGCAGAATCAGAATGAGTTTTTGGAATATTTAATTAAAACATTAAAAACTGATGTCGAAATTAAATGAAAGATACAATTTATTTTTTAAAGGACAGCTTGTAATTCAATTTTTCACACAAATTGTAAATTTACCATTCCTCCGATGTGGTGTAGGAATAAACTGCCAAAGAATATTAATTACTAATTTGATGTTAAAATGATAAACTATTGTAAGTTAAGGAGCAAATGCTACCCATATATTGTATTATAGGCCCGGTAGATCACTCACGATACCCACAAAAAAATGTTCATATCTCACAAATGTTTAGGTTTGGAAAAAATGTTAATGCGTATGTAGATTTTGGGACATTTTCGTGTGGGTACCATACCCGAAAATGGGTTTTTTTCTACTACCATAATGGTGTGTTTACCTTCATACATTAGCTAAATTTATAATTATTATCCGTGTAGTGATTCATTGTTCGTTCTTTATAGCTTTCTACATCGATTCAGGCCTGTGAGGAATAACGCCTTTTTATATTTTTATTACAAACACCCAATTTTTTATATATGAAAATATGTATATGTAATACAATTTTAACTGTAATCCTAACCACTATTATTTATTTGTATTTTCTAATGAAGTTAAGTCGTTGTAAAATAATTTATTCATAAAGTCATTTCTAAAACAACGTATTTGAGTTTTATTTTTATGACTGTCACTATTATTGGCTATTTAATGCAGCGGATACTGTTGGGAGAGCCTATTTTTATCCGAACGGCATACCGATTGTATAGTGCTAATGTAAAATGCCCCGTACTAACTTCTGTACAGTAATTCAGTGGGTTGAGCGCTGATGTATTAAATTACTGACTGTTGACGCATAAGTTCGGATCTCGGAGCAGACCAATGTGAAATTTTCATTAATGTGTATGGTTCGTTGTAGGATTTGATGGGTGGCGTATTATTAGTAATATTTCTGTTAATACGACGTCCAGTGAGTTATCATGTCAATGATGGTGGGTGTGGTTTTCCTAATGTGATGTAAGTCAGGCTAATCCACATTAACAAACTTAATGACCTGTTTAAACGATTGGACTACGTCTGTGAACAATAAAGAGGCTGTCGATATCGTATATCTTGTTTTCGCTAAAGCCTTTGACCGTGTTCGTAAAAAGAGATTGTATTATAAGTTAGAAAAAGCTGCAGCTCTTTACTTCTCTGGATAAGTGATTTTTTGTCAAATCGCATCTTCAAGGTAAAAGTCGGACAAATATTCTCGTCAGAGTATCCAGTTTTAAGCGCCTCTGTCATAGGGCCATTACTATTCTTGGTATACGCTGCAGATCTAGGCAGACTTAAATTCTAATATTTCGTGTTACGCTGATGACACTAAGCTATACTCTAATCCTGTGACAGATTCTACCCAGCTACAAAAAGACCTTGAAACTATTTCAAACTGGTGTGATATCCTTAAACACGGAAAAATGTGTCGT